GAGGCAGTCCGGGGATTGGTCCGGTATTGTACATTCGGCAGGAGGGAGATGGTTATTATTTTAGTTTGCTTGGCTCGGCTGAGGAGTTTAGAGAAGGAACTTTCCGATCGGCTGTTCAATGGCTGAAGGAGTGAGTTGGACCGGTCTTGCTTGTTGTTTTCATTCAATAGCAATCACGAGCGGCACCCCTGGGTAGCGGAGACGGTCGGCTCAGTAAATGGCCGAGTCTCTCCACCACCCTACTCTACTCAACTAGTCGTGCAGTGCTGCTCTAGGCGAGCGCCGCTTTTGGCGCTCGACACGTACCCAACATGCTACCGGTTACGGTGGTTAGCGGCGTGCCGGAAAAGCCAAGGCCCGGGTACCGGTGCCACAGTGACGTCAGTGATGCCTGAGTGCGGTATCTTTTTGCTCACTCATCCCATCCCTGAATCTGAAACCGTCCACACAAACACCTACATCGTAGTCGACAATGATGGTCTCTGCAGCTTCTTGTTTGTTGCTTATCGCTGCTCTGAGCGCAGCTACATCGTCAGACGCCTTTGTTCCTGCCAAAGCCCAGCTGAGTGGCTCGGATCGCACATGTTCCACAACAGCTCGAAGCATGTCCTCTGATGCCAGTGTATCGACCGCCGAAGTGATTGGAAAGGGTCGAATTGGATCTCTTTTTGCGGGAGAAGGCGCAACCTATGTGGGTCGTGACGATCCTATCAATCCTGAAGGGAATGGTCCAATTTTGGTGGCAACCAGAAACGACGCCTTGGATGGCATTGTGGAAAAATGTCCCGCAAACAGACGCAAGGATTTGGTCTTTATGCAGAATGGATACCTCGACAATTTTCTAGAATCCAAAGGTCTCATGGACAATACGCAAGTTCTCCTTTATCTGTCTGTTCCCAGCTTGGGTGTCGATGCAGTAGATGGAATCACATCTGTGAACCCCGAAGGACTGACTGCTGCCACCGGTATCCATGCAGAAGACTTTGCAAAGCGTCTGGCTGCTCTGAATCTCAAATGCAACGTGGTGACACCTGAACAGTACCGACCTGCCATGTTTGAGAAACTCATGTAAGTGATTTCAGTACCAGGCGACCATGGAATTGGTTTTGGTTATTTTTCTTGAGTCATTCTCATGATGTATTGTGCTATCCCTCCCATGATGTACCTACGACCTGCTTCCTAAAAAACACGCCAATTCACCGTCTCTACTAGTTGGATCTCCACATATATGCTGGTTGGTACAGCAAAGGAATGCAAATCTGTGGGTGAGGCCGGAGCAGAACATGGTGAATTGGTAGAGAAGGTGGTGAATGAACTGTTGGCCGCAGTGAGTGCCAAGGAAGGAATCACATTCGCGGCAGGCTCCATGGCTCGATTGGCGGCCTATACGGATGTTGTCGCTGATTTCCCCTGCGGAGTCAAGGAATTTGAATGGCGCAATCGGTATTTCTACAACCTAGGCGATGCAGCCTGTCCAACACACAACGCTCTGCTTCGAGAATGCAAGGAGAAAGGATTCATTGGATTTGATCTTCCGTAGTTATGCATTAGGTAGCTACTAGGGTATTGACTTTTGTTCAACGAAACGCTGTCCGTACGGTACCTACGAGTACACGGTTTGGCAAGCGGAAAGAATGCAAGATTGAATGCAATCTTACTCCTACCGGTACCGGTACATTGGATCTTACTGCTAGGTAGGAAATTGCAGCTACTCATTCTATTATATTCATAGGAAACCGCAGCTACTCTCCGGCCTGCTCATGTTGCAAATCCATAGTCGTACCCAATCCAACCGCTCAGCTTTTCCGTATGACCAAGCCTCTTCACTCCACTCTTGTAGGCTTGATCCAGGACAATCAGGGTGGCAACTTCCGGTGAAAGATTGTAGCGATGAACGAGCCATGCTGCCGCCACTCTGCCTGCTCGACCAATACCGCCTGTGCAGTGGCACACTACCTTTTCTCCATCAGCTTCTACTTGCCTCACCACATCAAAGACTCGATCACAGGCACCAAGATCACCCATAGGGGCGATGTAGCAACTCATTCCAGCTTGGGTCAACAACTCTTTCAATCCAGGTTCTTCGTAGACATCAAGCTCGTCCTCATTCAGCAGGGTAACAACATTAGTTACACCTTGCCCACGAACGAACTGGATCCACTCTTGAACGCTGGCAGCGCTGATTTTATCGTCGTCTCGCTGGCGACAGGACTTTCCGGGTTGTTCAGCAGTGTAGAGAATGGTATCCAGGGGTGATGCGGGCCCAAAGTTGTGAGGCGTGTCGCTGTTGCCGGGCGTCTTGAAGAATTCCAAGGGAAAGTTTGAACTCGGACAGCAAGGCAAATCCTCTTTTTGTCCATCACATGCCCTCAGTTGAACTAGTCTTCCAACCCTTTCAGGCGTCGTAAAGGACAGCAAGGAAGCAACCCTGCCAAGCTGAAGAGCAAACGGGAAGAGCCATAAGGCTCGAAGAAGGGTCGTCATGGTCAAGAGGAAGAGACTACTGCCAACACAAGTAAATTGTGGTTGTGGCACCTGAAGTAGCCAGGACCGAAGTAGGAAAGAGTGTGGTGGCAACATGGCTCGAGCGATTTCCGAAGAAGGTGTGCCGAATGGATCTAACGCCAACTCACCTCAAGATATCTTTGGCTCACCTCGAGTTCGGATACAGTGCGGACCCCGGGAGTTTGGGGAAAGTCAAAGTCTTTCCTTGGTGGAACCATGGACGAATATGTACGATAGAAAAGCCAATCATGACAATGGTGCTGCTACATGCAATATTGACATTGTGTCAACATGACGATGCAAAGAGATAGCTTGCTGGTAGTGGATCATTCACTAGTGTACTGGTATAAGAGCCGGCCAGTGAGCCAAGCTTAGAGAAATAGAAGGCGAGAATGGAATCAAGGCCAGACTTTGGTAGATTAGGGGGTACATGTACCAGTAAGGCCTGGTCCCAGTACGGTACCGGTAGTTGTGCCCTCCACTGCCAGAGTCTAGTCGCGAGCAACAATGGAAGCATCACAAGGTCTCCTCCTAAGACCAGATACCGGTACTCGCTACCGTAGCCAGTTGGAGACAGATATGCAAAGCTCAACAGCGTCTCCTTTTGGCTACCAATAAACATTTCGTTCCAATACGTGCATGTATTTACTGCATGATGACACCACGAATCCAGCAGCTAGACCACAGAAAACTGCCACTACAGAAAGTAAAAGTGTTAAATGAGAAAATTTAGTAGATCGCTATCAAAATTGGCTAGACAACCACAGCATGTCACGTCTGTAGATCAATGCATTGTGTAACTTGGAGTTAGCATTGGTTTGGACCGGCTGAAGAATATTTGATGTCAAACCGCAGGACCAGGAAAAGGAATGAATGCGGGTTGAAAATAGAATGGCCTTCCTTTGTTTCCGGTATCGGTATGGTAGCTACCGGTATGCTAAACGCTTCAACATCCATGAATCAATACCATTTTGTCCTGTTCCCTTTCCTGAATCAACTTTAGGTCAACACCTGAGCACCTTGAATTGAATGAATCAATTATTGTCGTCTTCGTCGTCATCATCACTGTAACGAGACAGTCGTTGTTTCAGCAGATTGTTGCGATCATTGCCTTCATCATCGGTCTCGGTGTCTTCGGTGTAATAGTCCTTGTCATTTTTGAGTTTCCCAGGAGGAGAGCTGGTATCCAATGTGATCATTTCCCCGCTGCTACTGCTGGCATCATCGTCTTCATTTCCTTCTACTAGCAAGTCGTCTTCCTTTCCATGTTCCCACCATTGCGATGGTGCTTTGTCAAGTGCCTGGCAAATCGTCTGAAGACTGGAGAGTACAGTTTCCAGTGATGGATTGGTTTTCAGAAAGGAACCCTTTCGAGAGCCCGTCATTGCCAGCGGGAGGCAACAATCTTTCACTAACCAAAACAACCGAAGCGAATGAGATCTTCAAATCACAGGACATCAAACCAAATAATTCTATAGAATCGAATCACTTACCGGGACAGATATTATTGTTACAGCTGAATGATTCAATGCACTTCCAACAAAATGTGTGGGCACAAGACAAGGTTGATGGATTTTTCAAAAGCTGTTGGCATAACGGACACATGAGCTTCGAATGGAGTTCATTCAGCGATTGCCGCATATGGACAGTTGTTTTGGTAGAGTCGGGCATGATGGAGGGTTCTTCCGCGTTGTCAACGGTAGTATAAATAGTAGTGTTGCTCTTTGCTTGATGTCTCTTCATCATGGTAGATTGGCTCTCACACTCTCAATGGGTGTGACTGAAAATGGGAGCTTGTCGAGCAGCCGCACGCAAAAGAGGACAACGATCCTGATCCCTATCCTTCCTGCGAGAGGAGCCAAAACCAGCTGGTGGTTGGCAATCACGAGGTGAACCTCCCGGGACTCGCTAGAACGAGGTAGACG